TTATTATTATTATTATTATTATTATTATTATTATTATTATTATTATTATTATTATTATTATTATTATTATTATTATTATTATTATTATATTGATGTACTTAAATTTTCTTACTACATCCATAAAATAAAAAATATTCGATTAATGTTGATCTGTCTCTTTTTAAATGGTATATATTTGTCAATACAATGAATGTTAACAGTACTGTGTGAACTATTTATGCAAGTGCATCATTGTTATATTGTCATTATTTGAGAAAGGAAAATGTATGTCGTTAGATGCCACAGAGATTATCAGATCTGTAAGAAAAAAGACCAATCAGCTGTAAAACATAGAAAAAATAAGAGAAAGCTTGAGGTGAAGAGTGAAAAGGACCTTGTAACGGTTAATAATATCCTTCAGAATCTTATTTAAAGCATGGCCTATATGGAGATCCCCATTGGCATAGGGTGGACCATCATGAAGAATGAAGCTCTCCTGTCATAATAACAAAATGACAAGTATTGATCAAAAAAATAATAACAAAATGACAAGAAGTTTTTTACAGTAAATTTAAAATGCAGTAAACATAAGCTCATACTTCATAGGAATACAGTGACAACAAATAAGTTAATGTAAATACTATAAAAGGAAATTAGAAAAGTTTTGAAACCAACCCCATTATTCCTGTCAACAATTCTCTTGAAAACCTGACTGTCATCCCATAATTTCTGAATTTCTGGCTCTCTTACTCTAGCATTTGCTCTCATGCTGAAATTTGTCTTGGGTAGATCAATCGTGTGCTTATACCTTCCATCTTCTTGTTTTGTGCCTGAATAAATGTCAAGCATAGCAAGCAGTCAATGGTATGATGAGAATAGCCCTGACCCCATAAAAGAAAAAGAAGAGAAAAAAAAAGAGCTGCCACTTCAAAAGTTAAGGTATCCAAAATTGATAAGATCATAAAACATCTTGAATTGTGTGACATGTTCCAATTGTCAGTTGATAAAATACCATATATGTACCTTCTGATGCTTTTTTGGCAGCCATAACAGGTCCACGAGATCTTCTCCTTGAAACAGAATCAAATTCTCCATAAGAAGAAGTAGAATAGCATTTGACATTTAGCTGGGAGACTTTATCCAATGAGCTCCTAAAACAAAAAATACTAAGAGCAGTACTTCTGCTTCTAGAGAAGCAAGCTCTCTGGGAAAAAACCTGAAAATGAGTAGAGAATGCATCAGTTGCAGTTTAAGGAACAGCTCTACCTGCATTTCAGAAGCCATCGAGCCACTAAGCAACCTAAACATGTGCAACAACTTAGTTGTGTTTGGGTAGAATTTTGTTCTTATTTGGGGCTTCTGCTATGTACTTTGTGCTGTAAAACCCATTTCATAAAACATGTTTTTAAAACATACATTTCACTGTAAAAAAGTATGAATACGTGTTTGGATACAGTAATCTATTTCCATGCTTTGACATCTAGAGTTGTCAATGGGTTGGATTTGGTCGGGAGCAGGGTGGGGTGGAACATGGTGCTGAACTGATAAGAAAATATGCAGACCACTCGCAAACCAGACCCTATATGGTCTCTAATAACAAACCCAGAACCGAACCAATTATTAATGGGGCCTATCAAGTCTGACCCGATAATACCCAATTATATTTGACAACTAAACTTCTAATTTAATAATTCAACAATGAACCATCTCTAAAAATAAATATGCCAGGCAAATAAAAGGACAGCCCAGTGCACGAGGCTCCCACTAATGCAAGGCCTGGCGAGGAACAAGCGCATGCAGCCTTACCCCTGCACATACAGAGAAGCTGTTTCCAATATCTGAACCCTGGTCACCCCGGAGAATCAAAACAAAAAAAAGGATGTAACAAAACATTATGGTCCAACATTTTATAAGTAAATAGACTGAATAAGTTGGATAGCATACTTCAATGCAGAAGTGCAACAAAATACAAGTCTTCAATTCAAAAGAAAATAAGAGAGACATTGTTCGAAACAAATCCAACTTAGAAAGTGTTCAGGTGCTATTTTTGGGCAGAAAATAGGTTGCACAAGTTCATATTTGACAGCAAAGGAAATATTAGAGTTTACTCATGCAAACTGCACCAACAAAGAAGAGATTAATGTAACTCAAAAAAGGAGTATTCATGAAAAAAAATGAGTATTCAGAGCACTGAACCGGTTCAGATACCATGTCAGTTCGAAAAGGATAACTTTGAAACATATAGACTTGTACACTTCAGAAATCAGAGTAAAATAAGGACTTAGATATAGTACACGACCAAAACATCAAAACAGAGGCTATAACATATGGCTATGGCAGATCCTTTTATGATTCTAATACTAATTCTAACCTAGGTATCTTTCCAACATTAGTAGCAATTCAACTCATCCCATACTCAGACTCTATCACTATTAGACGCAATGGGCTCCTGTCTTGACGAAGGTATAGATAACTTTTTTTTTTTTTGATGAATGGGAATAGAGCACTAATATTTAACAACACCATTCGGTAAATAGGTTTTCATTGATTGTAAAATGGTACAGTCAGAACGAAAAGTTATATAATTTGTTATATCCATTCAAAAATGGTTCTTTTAGCCCTATTTGCTATTGCAAAAGAAATCCATTCATCGATATGATAAACTGGTATCCAAATTAGATAATAGATATAACGTTCAATGAAGATAACCATTGCTTGCGGTGGTGTCATCCAGTTTACGGCGTACATGATGCTGCTGCAACACCCAACAGCCGGATGCCGCTTGCCGCTGCTAGCTCCAATCGACGCCGGTGGTATGTGTTTAAGGAGTTGCGAGTCTAGTGACTGTGTTACGGACTTACGATGTGCCAGTGAGCTTGAGTGTCGTCAAGCAACGAGAGACAATCATAGTCTTTAGCATGAGATTGAACCGGAGAGGTTGGGATTTGACGGAAGAGACTGAGAAGTGAGAAGGATGAAGTGAGAGACTGAGAGATGGACCGTGGACGTAGGGCTGCAAATGAATCGGATTCTGATCCGACTCGATTTCAAAATCCGATCTAACTAAGTCGGGTCCACGTGATAACGAAACCAGTCGGACCAGAAAACCTGATCCATTTAATAGTTGGATTTCTTTTGGGAAATAAGGCGATGCAAAATAATTTAGTGAAGAAATTATAGCTGTGTTTGGTTGCAATGCAAATAAATTTGCAATGATGTAAAACCATGGCAGTGCAAATGATTTGAGTGTAAATTTTAACCTATTTTTGTTTCAAATTTTAGTTTATTTTATTTGATTGAAGTACAAATAAAATAAATTAAGACATGAAGCAGAATAAAGTAAAATCCAAAACAAAATTAAACAATAATTTGCATTTTTTACATTTGCACCCCTATACATTTGTATTAGTATAAATAAATTTGCACTGAAACCAAACACAGTAGAGTACATTTGCTTGATAATCCAGGAAAGCAAAATTAGAGATACACTGAGGGATAAAATCAAGGTCCAATATGAGAAATATGGCGAAACATACATCAGATGAGAAGCTAAGGCCCTGTTTGCCATCATTATAAAGAATCGCCATAAATGATTCTTTTGATTTTCTGAATGAATCATGTCTTTAACCATTGGACTCCCGAAATTAACAATTGGGCAACGGGTCTTTAACCATTTTAGGTGTAAAAACCCATCAACTAATCCCATCGACCAATGGTCTTTTGCTTTAATTCTTATGCACATTTTTTTGCTTCAACTTAAAACATTTAAAATAACTAGTAAAAGTGTATGTGCATTGTACGTGGATTATGATTAATAGTCAGCAACCAAATGACCTTATTGGTTGAACCATTATCCTATTTAACTAGGAAAATGGATTATGATTAAGACATTAATTCATTTTTTTATTTGTATTTTAACCATTTCTATCTTTACTAACAACAATTCTTATTTTTCAAACATATTTTTGTTTAATATTAAGAACATATAATATTAATGCATGTTCACATTTTTCTATAAAATTTATAAAAAAAAATTATATTTTTTATTTTTTATTATTTAATTTATGAGATAATAAAAATTACTTATTTACCAAGAGTAAATATTCCAATATATTGTTTGAGTATTGGCTTTTAATACTGTGGTCAAATCAATTATATATCATTTATATATAATATATATGTTATTTATTATTTATTTATTTATAAATATGTTATTTATATTGCATTTTTGTAAACTTCTTACACGATGAAAATAGTTGAAAAAATACTTATATTTTTTGTTTTCTTTATTTTAACTATTATATTTTATTTTTCTTTTAATAATTTCTTTTTAATTAAATTGGGTCGTCTCAGATTTGGATATCCAACATATTGATCAGATTCGTATTTGAATCAATATTTATGAGATCTGATCAGATATTCAGATCGAATCGAATTCAAATATACAATGATTCAAATCCGACTCGATCTATTTGTATCCCTACCAAACCACTTGCCTTCAATAACCTATCTAATTAAACCATTGAACCATTTGACATGGTTAGTGGGGTCATGTGTTAGACATTAATGCTCTTTATTTTTTATCATAATTTTTATCCCATTTTTATCATTAATGAAAATTAATTTCATTAATCACACTTTTTTATACAATGAATATATAATATTATAGAATATACCCAAAATTATCGATAAATTTCTATATTTTCTAGAATTTTATGTATGTTATTATTTAATAATAACATCCAATTGACATGGATAGTTTAACCACTAACCCATCACTTGGATGGAAAAACCATTTTACTTTTTTTGTTGATTTTAAATCATGTATTCCATTTTCATTATCGATAAAAGTAATTCTTATTTTCACATTTATTTTTTGTTTAATATGATGAATATATAATAATAGAATTGTATCAAAATGCTTTATACAAAGCTTATATTTTTATTTGAGTTTATATGTATGTATGTATGTATGTATGTATGTATGTATGTATGTATGTATGTATGTATGTATGTATGTATGTATGTATGTATATATATATTTAATATTCGTTACTTAGTTATGACAACATAGATTGAATAATTTGATACGGAATGTTAGATCATTGACCTACCTACCATCTAGATATGGAAATGGTTTCATTTATAAACTGGTTTTAAATTTTTTATTTCACTTACATCATTGATAAAATAATTATTATTTATCATACTTATTTTTATATATATTATTAGTATATAATATTATAGATGTGCCTAAAACTGTTTCATATTTTTTGCACTATTTTATTAAAAAATACTTTTAATTATACACCATGGGTTAACCTATTTGACCTAAAAGATTGAACCGCTAACCCACCCCCTAGATAGGAAGATGGTTTAATTTCCATCCGTTTTAAATTGTGTATTTGATGTCCATCATTAATAAAATGATGTATATTTTATCATAGTTATTTTTTAATATGACAAATATATAATAATAGAAACATGTCCAATTTTTTCAATATTTAATTTTGTCTATTTTTGTTTGTATTTTTTATATTACTAAATTTGTATTATTTATTCATGACATCATGAAATTATCCATACGTTGAATTACTTACCCACGACCTAGATGGAAAATATGATTTTGTTTCTAGGTTTATTTTTAAAATATAAAATCTCATTCTATTAATAATTATTGTGTATGGATTTATTAGTGGAATTTAATTATGATAAATAAAAGTATTTTTTATATTTCTAAATTTGTATTATTTATTTATGACAACATGACTCAAATGGTTGAACTACTTACTCACCACATAGATGAAAAATATGACTTCATTTATATGTTTATTTTAAAAATATAAATTTTCATTTTATTAATAATTAGGGAAATTGTTTAAAACTCACCATGAGTTTTCAACATTTACCTTAAACTCACTACAACTTTTCAAAATGTCTAAAACTCACAATGTCAATAAGTTTTTATTTTCCAAAACTCACATTCCGTTAATGCTTATTAACAAAGGTGTCCATGTTAGCATAAATAACAATTGTCATGACCAAATTACCCTTGAATTGAGACGAGTTAGAGGAAAAATGGTCTTTTCAGTTTTCAATTTTCTTGTTTTTTTATATTTTTAGTGTTTTGTTATAATTTCCAATGTTATTTATAATTTATATTTTTTTACATTTTCTATTTTCTACAATCTATAAATAGTCTTGTATTTGTTGTTATTTATTTGTAATTTATGTATTTTTCTGTAATTTGTTGTGTTTTTTCTACAATTTGTATTTTCTGGTTTTGTTTTTCAATCTCTATAGTTTTTATAATTTGAAAATAATTTTTTATTTTGTTTGAAATTTCTACAAATTTTTTATATTTTTTGTAATTTATATGTTTTTATGTATTTTATATTTGAAAATATTTTTTGAACTTCTTCCTTTTTTTCATGTCTAAATATTAAAATGGCAATATATTAGCACCGTTAATTTATGTTGTATATATTTTATATTTTTCTATGAATGTTAAAATGGTAATATATTAACACCCGTTAGTCAGTTTAACGTCAAGTCAATGACATGGTGAGTTTTAGACATTTTGAAAAGTTGTGGTGAGTTTAAGAGAAATGCTGAAAACTCATGGTGAGTTTTAGACAATTTCCCTAATAATTATTGTGTATGGTTTATTAGTCGAATTTAATGATGATAAACAAATGTATAAATGTTGGATTCAATGAGAGAGAATGTGATTTATTTAATGACTTAAATGTGAGACTTAATGTGAGTTAATTGAATGTACTTAATGGTATTCTTTTAATTACATTTTACGCTCTTTCAATTGAGATGAACTAAATTCAATATGAGGGGTATTTTAGTAAAAAAAAACTCCATAAGCCAATACCTCATTATTCACACTTTTATAAGTAGTATAGATTGTCTAAAACTCACAATGGCTAAATCAATATATTCAATCACATAATTCAATTACCTAAATCAATATAACATAATTCAATCACATAAAATTAAGTACTTTATTTATTTAATTATAGGTTATGGGTCTCATGTATTTTATGACTATAGTGGAGCATTATTATTAGTTACATAGCCTAATACAGGGGTGTTCTGTAGTGTGGATAAGGAATTGGTGGGTGTGGATTGGTCCACACCACACCCTGTGGCAGGGACCAATCCACACACACCACAGTCTACAGCTATTTTGAACAGTGGACAAATTGTGTGGACTGGACTAGTCCACAGTCATAGTGGCGCTCACACCACACTTTTTGATTTCATGTATCTCATATACATTTATGAATGATATACGCCAACATTTTAAACCCGAAAAGGAAACTATTATAGCCATTGGTTTTCGGGTCGACGGTCCGACCGTATGATTTGAACGGATGACCCGTTTTGATAAACAAATTAAAAATAAAAAACGGTAAAAAAATGTTGAATGGATCGACAGTTTGACCGCTAGGGTTAACGGGTTATTGACTTTTTCAATGGCTTTGGCCAAAATCGGGTTTAGGGTAAAACATAACTGCTTGCCTAGACGGTTTATGGGCTGAATGGTCTGACTGTCCGGGTTAATGGCGTTTCAAAAACCTTGATATACACAATTAATCATAAATATCTATTTTTTGCATTTTATATGATAAATATATTGAAAATGCATCAACGAATTAATATTAACCAATAAATATCATTTTTTTATAAAAAATAGTAAAATAATTAAAATTTAAAAAATATATTTTACATATTTAAAATATAATTTTATTTATAAAACATTAAAATTTTAAGAATTGAAAATTTAAGTAAAATAATTAATATTTTATTGACAAAATATTAAAATGTGAAACAGACAATAGGGTAGCCTTTCAAGGAAAGTGTGAAATGGGGGATAAAAAATCAAGTGTGGACGGTCCTTAACCACAAGATTTTGTTGTGGATGAAAAATTGGGGTGTGGACGGAACCTGCCCACGCTATATTGGGGTGTGGACAGGACCGGCCCCATCCAA